TGAGGTATTCACTAAGCACATCATCACTTGGGGCCATCTTCTTGATGCATTCATTCACAGATATCGCGCAGGACCGTCAAGCTCCCAGGCCTCTGGTAGAGGACCCGAGCTTGAAGGAAGGAATACAAGACTGCCCCAAAGTGGGGGGCGAGTGGGGAATTTATATATATATGTATATATATACATATATACACACACACACACACACACACACACACACCACAAACCAGCAGACAGACAAGCAGGAACACTCACATACTCTCTGGTCAGATGAATTTTTAGGGCTGCTGGAGTCAGGGCTGCTGCCAAACCCTAACCCCTTGTCACCCCACCCTGCCGCCGTGATGACATCAATACATAACCCTGAGCCACTGACCCAGAAAGGCCTAAAACACACACACACACATGTGAAGGTATCGAAAATGCAGAAAGCACAAACACTGTAATGAATACTACAGGGTCACATTTTGAGTACACACACGCGCAAAAATGCATATACACACAGAGCACTCAACCATAATGACTACTGCATGGCCACACTGTAGTGTCCACATACTGACACACACAAAAGCACAGAGTCATGTCGTCATCTTGTGTTACAGTGCATTTTAAAGTGGCTGACACAACTGAATGAATATTAAGAAGGTAGAGTCAATAAACTTGAGCATTTATCCATGTATTTTTTGGGCTGGATGTTGTTGGCTAACCTGCCTTTGTCAAGGTGATTCCTGATGTTGTTTTTGGTTTCTTTAGTGTGTCTTTAGATTCTTTGGAGTCCATCTTTTCAAAATACTTTTTATAATTTACTATACTGCCTCAACCCTCAGCAGATAAGGTGTACAACAAATGCATAAAGGACCATCACTGTAAATCACTACAACTAATTGTTAAATATGATGGACATGAAACTCACAAAGTCTGCCAGTTTCTTTTTGTTTCAACATGAAAATGAAAGGAATAGCAATTTTGGTCCCGTTACAAATATTTATAAGCATTAATCTGCTGATTATTTTCTTGATTAAGCGACATATTGTTTGGTCTATCTAATGTCCAAAACACCCAGCCAAAGTTCCCAGAGCCCAGAGTAGCATCTTCAAATGCAATGATTTGTGTGGCCCACAGTCCACAGTACACAGTGATTTACAATTTGTTATTACAGACAACTGTAGCATCAGTGATTTTTTTTTGTTTTGTTTTTGTCTAAAGAGAACACACACACACATACATAGAGTGGAGGGGTTTAGCCAGCCACTGTCATACACTGTTTCCCAGGGTTCAAGTCAACCAGTCATAGGTCAACATTTAAAATACTGGCTCTTCAACTGAAGAGGTCATCCTCTTCATATGGACCACCATCTGTGTGAGAGTCCAAGTTATTCTTTAGTGCTCCCAGTGGGCTCAAAGGCACACATGTTACACACGTAACACATCCGGTACTAAAGCCACACCCCTCCTCAGACCCTCGAAATGCACACATACATTTACGGATGGAAACACACATTCAGACACTTAATGCTGCACCAAATCCCCAATTTAACCTGCTGTCATGCTGATTTGAATTTGTGAAAATCCTTAAATTTGAACTTAACAGTCACTGTCAGAGTGTTGTTACATTAGAAAATATTTCCACATCCATTGTCTCGACATATGAGACAGACACAGAGACTTTACAACACAGTCTTGAATGACCTTGTAGATCCATTGATGCTTACAGACATCCTGCCTTCTCAAATATCAAGTGTCAAGACATATACGCATTTAACTCCCCTTCCCTAATTACTGAGTCCTGAGGGATGAGACACTTAAGCAGCACTTCAATGGTCAAAGAAAAGATCTTTCTCACCAGCCAGAGGGCATACAGAGGGTTTGATGGCCCTAGAAACAAAGCTACTTCTTCATAAGAATCAAATCACTATTTGGAGATGTTAAAAAAAAAATCTATTTCTTCATCTATATCAGCTTTACAAAGGCAACTGTGAACTGAAGGTTATCTTAGGTTCTTCTAATGGATTTTGAAAGAGT